GTGTTTTCTATTTTTTCCATGAAAGATATGTGTGACTTCAGATATTTAAGATTCTAAGTCAGTAAAAGCTTTTTTTTTTAATTTTAATTTTAATTTTCATATTGATTGATTGATTGATTGAGACAGAGTCTCAGTCTACTACCCTGAGTAGAGTGCCGTGGCATCAGCCTAGCTCACAGCAACCTCAAATTCCTGGGCTCAAGCGATCCTCCTGCCTCAGCCTCCCGAGTAGCTGGGACTACAGGCATGCGCCACCATGCCTGACTAATTTTTTCTATATGTTTTTAGTTGTCCATCTAATTTCTTTCTATTTTTAGTAAAGACGGGGTCTCACTCTTGCTCAGGCTGGTCTCGAAGTCCTGAGCTCAAACGATCCTCCTGCCTCGGCCTCCCAGAGTGCTAGGATTACAGGCGTGAGCCACCGCGCCCGGCCCATTTTTATTTATTTTTTAACAGCACTTGGTACTAAGAAGCTTCTTTATTTTACCTACCAGCCCTGTTTTTACTAACTTTTTTTCTCTCATTCAATAAAACTCTCTCGAGTAGGCAGTGGGATAAGGGAGTCTGAAGCTCATTCTTTCCCTTTGGCTTCTATTCAGTATGCAAAGAAGAGATAACAGTCAAGAATGAAGTATAATTGTGATGCTGTGTATGTTATGCAGGTAAAAATGGCATGTGAGTAGGTTTGCTAGTAACCCAGACAGAACTTCATGGAAAGTTAGTTCTCACCGATTTCGGTATCTGTACCACAGCTTTGCCAGTTTGGGGACTTAATTTTTTTTAGTTCACTTAGAGGAGGGGAATATGTTAAGGAAGGACTCAAGCCTAACAAACTATAGTAGATCGGTGTGTGTGTGTGTGTGTGTGTGTGTGTGTGTATCTCAATTCCAATTTACTAATCCACATTAAAGGAAAAAAATATGACTATTAAAATATTGCCTGCTTGGGGACTTCTGCTTCAGGTTATGGCATATTTTGTTTTAGGCAAACTCTCCCACTGAGAATAACTAGAAAACCTGGATAAATACAAGAAAAAAAAATCTTTGAAGGTATTAGTTTTTAAGAAAGTTGAAGACTTAAGAGGTCAAGATTCTGGAGAGAAGGAAGTCACAGAAGGGTGAACCCAACATTTGGCTGTGCTTTCCCCTTGAAACATTTGCTCACTAGTGGAAGCAGTGAGTATGAGGCTGAAAAACTGGGCAAGACTTTCTGAGGGAACAAAAACTGGAGTTCAGGAAGAGAGCCCAGTGGATACCTCAGACTTGGATTTAGAACCATGGGAGGGCTACATCCTAAGAACTTACCAGAAATAGGCCAGCCCTTGCAAAGACTGAAGCCTAGCTTCCAATCAGTTCAGTCTCAAAATGGATTAAGTTACCAAAGCCTACTGTTGAATGGGAAGCCTTGCCAATAACGTAACAGTCAATTAACACATGTTTTCTATGTTATATGTATTATATACTGATTTCTTATGATAAAGTAAGCTAGAGAAAAGAAAATGTTATTAAGGAAGTCATAAGGAAGAGAAAATACATATATAGTACTGTACTATATTTATTGATACCATAAGTGTGAATCATCTGTTTGTAAAATGAATCATCTGTCTGAAATGGCAGGCAATTGCAACTACAGACCTCAATCTACAGTTCATATCAAGCAATTTAACTTTTTTCTTATAATGTTATGACTTTTCTCTGCTTCTTGGGAACGATTCCAGCATCACTAGTGGCACTTTGTATGGGTCCCATGGTATTATGGTATTGCACTAAACACAATGAAAAATACGCAAGAACCATGAGAGATCATTTTTTTTTTTTTTTACTGTGATATGCAATTTACTGGAGAGACGTACTGCTTACGTGGCGATGATTAGCATCACACAGTGTTTTAAGCAGATACTCCCAACACTTGAGCTCCCTGTAATAACAACAGGAGGTGGCTGCAAAATTATGACAGTAATACAGTATGTACTACAGTTAATTTAATGTAGTTATGATTTAATGCTGCATCTTTATGTTTGTTTTCATTTCTCTCAACTGCAAATGGTACTATATATGGTCTGTAAGTGTTTGCTTGTGTAAGTTTTGAAAACTTTAACTTTTTATAATTTGTGTATATTTTATGGCAATAAATGATAGAATACACTAGTATCTATGCATATTTTATGCATTCATGACAGACATAACTTTTTCTTAATTTTTTCAATATTTCTAAGCTATGTGGTTTGTAAGTTTTTTCACATTATTGCAAATCTCAAAAAAAAATTCCCATTTTTATTTTAAAAATCCACATATTAAGTGGACTTGCACAACCCCTTGTTCAACCCCTTGTTTGTTGTTCAAGGGTCAACTGTGTAAGATCACATCATCTGCAGTCAGGGAAAATTTGACTTCCTCCTTTACAATTTGGATGCCTTTTCTTTCTTTCTCTTGCCCGTTGTCTCATTTACTCAAGAGGCTGAGGTGGTAGGATGCCTCGAGCCCAGGAGTTTGATGTTGCTGTGAGCTATGATCGCGCCACTGCACAGCAGCCTGGGCAACAGAGTAAGATCTTGTCTCTAACCAATAGATAGATAAAGAATCTGGGGTCTCAGCAGCTCTGGCGGCGGGAGCAATGGCAGTGGCAGTGGCCAGGCCGCCCAGCTTTGGAAAGGCTCTCAGCGTGTGCCCTCTCCACCAAGACGCCCAAGAGTAAAGTCAGCTCTGCCGCCTGGCTGAAGGCGCAGTAAAGGAAGAGCCCAAGAGGATCAGCACGGTTGTCAGCTAAACCTGCTCCTGCAAAAGTGGAAACGAAGCCAAAAAAGGCAGCAGCAAAGGATAAATCTTCAGACAAAAAAGGGCAACCAAAAGAGAAAAGGGGAGCAAAGGGAAGACAGGCCGAAGTGGCTAACCAAGAAACTAAAAAAGATTTACCGGGAGAAAATGGAGAAACTAAAATTGACTACAGCCTTTGATGAAGCAGGAGTGAAAGAAGCCAAGTCTGATCAGTATCACACACTGTGTCTTATCAGTGGTCCTTGTCTCCCTTCTTGTACAATCCAGAGGAATATTTTTATCAGCTATTTCGTAAATGCAAATTTTTTAGTAGCTCTAGAAACATTTTTAAGAAGGAGGAAATCCCACCTCATCCCATTTTTTAAGTGTAAGTGCTTTTTCTTTAAGAGGTAAAATCATTCGCTGGTTGTTTATTTTTGGTACAACCAGAAAAAGTGTGGGATATTGAATTATGGGAGGCTTTGTCTTGGGTGTCAGCTTAACATTCCATAGATGGGAGGTTGGTTTTTATATTCTGCAATACAGAGCATACTAAATGGCAATGTGGAGTCCCAGGCCTGCATTTAATGTCTTTAACATTTTAAATTACTTCTATTCCCATGGTGTTTTTTAGTAGAGTTGTTTCCTAAAGAAAGCCACTCCTCAATTATGGCTTTCCCTGTCAGAATTGCGTATACTCTGTGATGTCTTTGGTCATGGGAGTCCTATTTTCCTAACAACTTTGTTAATATGCTGTGAAAGTTTGAAAATTTGCGTATGTAGTATATATGATAATAAATTGTGAATTGGTGGGACTTACATAACAGTTTATCAACTTTCGAAGATACTAGTACTTGATATCCTCTTAAGGAAAATTCGCCTCCAAATTTTAATCTGGAAAGTCACTGAAATAACTGTTTAAAAGAGAATAAATTAGATTTTCGGTATATATATTAAGAATTATGTACAAATTTAAATGTACTGATCTTCAACACAACCAATAAAATCTCAATTACAAAAGGAAAAAATCTATATAAAATAAAGATACATAAAAAGGTGATAAATCTTGACCAAGTTGAGCTTGTCTCAAGAATTCAATATTATTTTGTCATTCAAAAATTATTCAATGCAATTAACCTTATTAACAAAAAAAGGGAGAAAAGCTGTCATCTCCATATATGGGGGAGAATGATAAATTTCACCACACACTAATGATTAAAAATAAGCAAACAAAAATTCTCTTAGCCTGCATTCATTCTATAGGAATGGAAGGGAGTTGATTTAATTTGATGAGTGGTATCTACAGAAATCTTAGAGCAGATAGATGTTTTACTTGATGATAAAATTCTGAAAGCTTTCTCTCTGAAGGCATGAACAGAGCATGCATACCTATTCTCACCACTGTTTTTCAACATGTCCTAGAGGTTCTAGCCAGAGCATTCAGACAAGAAAAGAAATAAAAATTATAAGGATAGGGGAAAAAGACATAAAATTCTCATTTTACAGATGACATGATTCTGCATGAACAGTAATACATTTATAAACAGTCCCGTTTATCCATGGGAGATACATTCCAAGACTCCTAGTGGATGTCCAAAACCACGGACAGTATGGAACCCTACATATACACTGTTTTTTCCTATACATACATACCTATGGTAAAGTTAATTTATAAATTAGGCACAGTAAGAGATTTAACAGTGATAACTAATAATATTAATACAATAGAACAATTATAACTAAATACCAGCATCACTACTCTTGCACTTTGGGCCCATTTATTAAGTAAAATTAAGGTTACTTGAACACAAGCACTGTAATATCACAACAGTCAATCTGATCACCCAGATAGCTACTAAGTGACTAACAAGTGGGTTAGGTGTACAGTGTGGACACACTGGACAAAAGGATGATTCACACACATTTTGTGAGGGACGGGAGTGGGACAGTATGAGATTTCATGATGCTACTCAGGATGGTACACAATTGAAAATTTATGAATTGTCTATTTCTGGACATTTCCATTTAATATTTTCAGACTGCAGTTGACCTCGGGTAACTAAAACCACAGATGAGGGGGGACTACTGTAATGTTTGCTGATGGCTGGTAGCATTCCTGCCATTTGACTTTGCCTAAGTTCATTCTTAGAGTGTAGAAATTCCTTCAGTATATGGAAGCACCTTGTCCTTCCTCAAGTACATGCAGCAAAGATTTTACTTTTGCTATTAACTTTTTTTTCTCTGCAGGTCCTATCTGACTCCCGTACGGGATGAGGAAGCAGAGTCTTTACGGAAAGCACGCTCCAGACAGGCTCGGCAGACACGAAGGTCTACTCAAGTGAGTGTGATTTTTTTTTCATGTTATTTTGTCTGTCTATCTTTCCACTGGAGGTACAATTAAAAAACACTAAAATGAGTACCTTATTCCAGCCACTCTATTAGCTTTCACTATGTTAAATCTTATACTACATAGAATCAAATGAATTTATAGCTACTCTACCACTCTCACCTCTTTCCTCCAGGCTCAGAGCAGGTTTATCTCCTTTCCTTCACAAGACCGATTATGGCATTTGTGCTTAAAGACCTTAAGAATCCCCCTACCCCTACCTATCTTAAGAATTTCTAAGGGAAAACAGTTTGGCAACCCTCAAAATTGTAAATACAGAGTTACTATTTACTCCAGCAGTTCTACTTTTAGATATATACTTGGGAGAAATGAAAACATATGTCCATATAAAAACTTCTGTATAGATATTCATAACAGCATTTTTCATAATACCCAAAACCAACCCAAACATTAACTAACGAATGGGTAAACAAAATGTGATATATCCATACAATGGAACATTATTTGGCGATAAGAATGAGTGAATTACTGATGCATGATACTACATGGATGAACCTTGAGAAAACATTATGTTAAGTGAAAGAAGCCAGACACAAAAGACCCCATATATTATATGATTCCATTTATGTGAAATGTCCCCAGTAGGCAAATCTAAATAGACAGAAAGTCGATTAGTGTCGAGGGCTAGTGGAAAGAAGGAATGGGAAGTGACTGCTAATGGGTGTGAAGTTTCTTTTTGGGGTGATGAAAATGTTCTGAAATTAGATAGTGGTGATAATTGTGTAACTCAGCAAATATACTGAAGACCAAAGAATTGTAAACTTTATTTAAAAGAGTAAATGTTATGATATGTCTATTTTAATAAAGATATTACCAAGAAAAGGGAATCCCTAAGGGAGCCGCTGAAGCGGTTTAAGGAAGAGTATGACATAGTCTACGTTATATGTCACAGAAATCACCGCGCAGAGAATTGGTGGGAGTGGTAGGTAGAAGTATGTTTGCCAAGCCTAGAAGCAAGAAGACTTGCTAGGGAGCTGTTAATAGTAGTCCAAGCTGGAAGTGAAAAGGGCATGAACTCAGGCTGTAATGGCAAGGAGAATAGAGAGGAGGCTATGAATTAGAGTTATTTAAGGAGGCAGAGCAAGATGAGCCCGTGGAGCAGAATGAAAAGGAGCAGCCAGAGAGGTGAAAAGAAAACCAGAAAATAGCAGCATGGAAGTGAATGAAAAGTTAGTTTCCAGTGAAAAGGAGAAGTTCAGTAGTTCTAAAAGCTACAGAGGTCAAGTAGGAAAACTGATGACTGGAAAAGGGACCTAATACGTGACAGCAGAAGCATCCTCGTTGCCTTCCCTGACCTTCCCAAAGTAATATTTTGCTCAATTTGTCTAGTTCCCCTATTAGAATGTCACCTCCATGAGGACCAAGACTGATTACATGTTTTTGGTTTTGTTTTATTGTGGTAAAATACACATAATGTGAAATTTACTGTTTTAGCCATTTTTAAAGTGTACAATTCAGTAGCATTAAATACATTTACATTGTTGTGTAACTGTTACCACCATTCATCTCTGGAACTTTCTTCATCTTCCAAAATTGAAACACTATATCCATTGAACAATTACTCCCCATTTCTCTCTGGCAACCACCATTCTGTGTTCTGTCTCTGTGAGTTTGAAAATTCTGGGAACCTGCTATAAGTGGAGTCATACAGCATTTGTCTTTTGTGCCTGACTTATTTCACTTAGCATAATGTCATCAAGGTTCATTCATACTGTAGCATGTGTCAACATTTCCTCCCTTTTTAAGGCTAATACTCCATGGTGTGTATACACCACATTGTGTGTATCTGTTCCTCTGCTTGTGGACACTCGGGTTGCTTCCACCTCTTGGCTATTTTGAATAATGCTGCTGTGAGAATGGCTGTACAGATATCTCCTTGAGATCCTGCTTTTAGTTCTTTTGGGTATATGCTCACAAATGGAATTTGCTGGATCATATCATAATTCTATTTTTAATTTTTTGAGGAAATGCCATACTATTTTCCGTAGCAGCTGTACCATTTTACATTCCCATCAGCAGTGCACAAGGGTTCTAATTTCTTCACATCATCACCAATATTTGTTTTTTGATAATAGCCATCCTTTTTGATGATAGCCACTCATAGCCATCCTAATGAGTGTGAAGAGGAAGACTGACTATATTTTTGCTCATGATCTTTCCCACCCAGCATACAGTGAATAAAAATGAATATATATTTACTGAATAAATCAATGAGTGAGGGATAAATGATAGGGGAATATAAACTGCTCTGGATTGACTTCAAGTCTATTTATTAAGGAATGGGAAAAGATAGGGAAGTTGCTGGGAGAGGACATAGAATTGAAGGTGGGAAACATTGGGACAGAGAAGTATCTTGTAGGGAAAGATTCAGTAGAGAGAGAGAGTAAAGGTCTGTGTCTGAACTTGAAGAGATCTTTCAACTCCTTGAGATGTGTACATAACTTTTGGGAAGACTTTATTAGATTTCAGTAGTCTTCCTCAGATTCTAAGAGGGACTACTGACGCCCAAAAGAAGGTAAAATCCAAGCTCCTTAGCATGGCCTACAAGATCCTTTATGACCTAACCTCTGCCTGCTTTCCTAAATTCCGCTATCCTCGTTCTCCGCTCCCCCAACTTCCCCTTCTTTGTTGTGTGCTTCACCTTTGCTAAATGACTCATGGATTCCAGAATCACCCATGACCTCTCTTGTTTCTGAATCTTTGCACAGGTTCCCTCTACCTATAACGCCTTTTCTCCCTCCACCTACCCATGCTCTTTTTTTTTTTTTTTTTTTACTCTTCAAAACCCAGTGTTAGGTGTGCCTCTTACGTGGTCCTGTATTTGTCTTAATACTTACATTCTCTCATGATACTCATCAGTTTTCTTATGTCTTTTCCACTAGACTAAAAGGTTCTTGACAGTAATCATTTGATTTGTCTTTGTAGTTCTAGTGCCTAAAGACACTTAATTCTTTATTAAGAGAATGAATGAATAAATGAGTCAATAGTAAAAAAAGGTGGGGGGGAAAGCAAGTTGTGGATATGGTACCTGATCAACTGCCTTCCAGCTTTGGAACTTCCTTCTTCTTCTGAGCACTTGAACATATACTACTTGAGTTGGAATCAGCTCACTTTCTAACTTTCCTTCCTTCTCCTGCAGGCATCTCGTCATTTGCTTTTCTTTTGTCTTCCTGCTCCTGTGACCCTGGGGGGAACATTAATTGTTGGAACATGTTTTTATGATTCCTAAGGTTGCTTGGGAATTGATGTTAGAGAAAAAGTAGTCTAGGGGTTTGGGGAGGTTTTTGTTATTGTTGCTGCTGTTGTTCTAGCCTGGCTCTGAATTTTTACATTTGTTGAGGCTTGCTTTTCCGTTCCCGTGTCTGCTGTTCAGAGAATCTCTGTTGGTAACCATTTGATCTTGGGAGGGTAGAGAGCTTTCAAATAAAAATGTGGAGAACTATTTGGTATGGAAGAAGCACATCTATAACAGGCACACATCAATGTTGACCTGTTTTCTGGAGATCAAATTGGAAAAGCTAAAGTATTATGTTCAGAATGTACCTAGACTCAGGCTTGGGTTCTTTGCGCATCAAGGTGCTTATTTTAATCATGTATTGCTTGAAATGGCCTCATTATGCATTTTGAGAGCTTCATTTGGGAGTTTCCCTGCTCAGTCATCAAGTGTCATTCCATGGTTAGTGTGAAACTGCCCTGATCTTGTGTTATTTTCCCAGGGTGTTACCCTAACAGACCTTCAGGAAGCAGAAAGGACTTTCAGCCGGTCGAGGGCAGAGAGGCAAGCTCAGGAGCAGCCTACCGAGAAGCCGGTAGACACCGAAGGGCTTGAGGGGAGCACTGAGAAGCATGAGCCCTCAGCAGTCCCAGCAAAGGAGGCTGAGGGGGGCCAGCCGCCCTGGGGCAGGAGTCTGGATGAAGAGGTGAGCTCATTGTTGCTGGCGCGTACTATGCTAAAAGCAGAATAATTAATTTGGGGAATCTCTTCTTCAGTAATTCAAGTGTTCTACCTTGCAGGGGACAACTCACTCTTTATGCCTATCTTTAGTTGGCAAACCTGTGTGACGAAGAATGCAGAGAATGACAGTCCTTAAGTGGCCATTTTTTTCTTCTAGGAGTTTACTAATGCTTTTGAATAAATGTCTTTCTATTCTAAAAAGAGAAGTCGTAGTTTAATAAAATGCAAATTAAAATATAAGCACTTATTGAGTGTTTATGCATTGTGCTGTTTTAAATATTTTATATGTTTCATTTCATTCAATCCTCAAAACAGCCCTCTGAGATAGATATTATTATCCCTCTTTTGTATATGAGGAAATTGAGTCACAGAGAGGGTAAGTAACATGCCTGACATTTCACACAGCTAAGAAGTGGTTAAGCAAGGATCTGAACATAAGCAATCTAACATCACAGTTTACTCTTAGCCACTAACGTAATGTTCTTCAAACTCGTGCAAACCTAAGAGCTTACAAAGCACTCCTGAGTGTCACTGTTGGGGTGAACATTTTGATTTATGTTCAATTTCTCTAGTGAAGTTGGTAGTCAAAGGGCTTCGCTAGGCGCAGTGGTTCACGCCTGTAACCCTAGCACTTTGGGAGGCCGAGGCGGGAGGATCACTTAAGCTCAGAAGTTCAAGACCAGCCTGGACAACAGAGAGAGACCCTGTCTCTACACAAAATAGAAAAATTAGCCAGGCGTGGTGGTGCACACCTGTAGGTCCCAGTTACAGGATTTCTTGAACCTAAGAGTTTGAGGTTGCCGTGAGCTATGCTGATGCCACTGCACTCTAGCCCGGGCAACAGAATGAGACCCTGTCTCAAAAAGAAAAAAAGGTATAAGGTTATATTTAGGGAGAATACAACTCCTGGTTTACCTAAGATGGTTCCAATTACAACTGTTGTCTGTGTAATTATCATTACCACTCTCAAAATTGTCTCAGCTTGGACTGATAAGTTTTATGGTCACTGTAGTTATAAAAGAAAGGAATCTCCTTCTTGCTCTAACTCTGAATGGCTACAGTCCATAAACCGAGGCCCTGTTGTATATTTTCTTTGTTTTATAAGCTACTATTTATTGAGTACTTATTACCAGGTATTGTTCTAAGTACTTAACACATTATCTCACTGAATCCTCACAGTCCTCTCTGAGGAAGGTGTTATCCCTATTTTACAGATGAGGATGCTGAGACTCAAAAGTTAAATGACTTATTCAAGATTACAGAGCTAGTAAGTGCTGAGGGCTAGAATTTGAAGCAGGATCTGTCTGACTCCAAATTTACTATATTTTATTGCTTCTGTCTTTATAATTATAAGCAAAAATGAATACAATTTGTGCATTATAAACTTTGTAGTAAGAATTTATCTATCTCTGTGCCTTCAATGAAACAAGTTAAGGCTTATTGGTCAGACTCTGTCCTAATTTTCAGGAAAAAAAAAATTGCAAAGGGGAAAATAGGAATTTTAAAAAAGTTTCCATAAACCTGGTTGTGGTAAGTTGGTAGAGTATTCAGAAATTGATAGAATAGTCACATTTGAACTCTGCTCCCAGATAATTCCTGTATTCTGCTTCTTCATGTTCCTGAGCTTTTTATCTTTTATGTAAACCCTGCCTTTCAGCATTCCATCTTAAAAAGGCCATCATTCTTATTTTCATTCCAAGATGAAAGGAATTTTTATTTATGCAGTTAATGCTACCTAGTGCCCTTTGGTCAATTTAGGAATACTTTGCCTGGGTTGCTATCAGTATTCTCAGAGTAGGAGTCCAGAAGCTGTTTTTTTCTGGCTAATTAACTTCCTTTAGTTTAGTTCAAAAGCTATTTATTGAGCATCAACTACTAATAAGCCTCTTGATACAGGAAAAAAGCCATTTTGAATAAACTTGCTGACCTTACCCTTTGGTTGGACTTAACCTCTAATATCTCACTTTGCGGATTATTTCCAGCCTGTCTGTCGTCGCCTGAGGTGTCCAACTCAACCAGACAAACCCAAAACACCAGTGTCTCCTACATCAAACCCCTCACTCTACACCAGTTCCCATCTGCTACAGACAAGCAGATTTTCAGTCCCTGATTCTGAGAGTTCAGAGACTCCCACAAACACGACAACTACAAGGGACATGGACAAAAATGGTACGTAGAGCTTCAGAAAACGCAGACCCCTCCCCAGTGGACTTGCCCCAGATTCTTAAAATCAGTACTTTGTTTTATCTCTGGCCAGAAAGTGAAGAAGCAGATCTGGATGATCAGTCCTCTAACAGGCTATCCATCCGAGAGAGAAGGCGACCCAAGGAACGACGAAGAGGCACAGGCATCAATTTCTGGACAAAAGATGTAAGTGGATCGGTCTGTGCAGGGTCATATCACATGACCCTTGGCTGCCATCCTTTCAGTTGAGTTCAGAAGAAAGAGTCCCATGTGGTGCCATGAAATCTTGCAGATTGTCAAGGAGTGTTACTGAGGAAAGGAGAAGAAGAGTGAGTCCACTAGTGTGGGACTCACTTGGTATGCTCCTGCTGGACCCCAGTGCCTAGAGCAGTGCCAAGCACGTGGTAGGCACTCAGTAAGTAATGGGTAAAGAATTAAGAAAACTAGAAATTTACAACCACCATATACACAAATATAATACTCTTTCTTGGAGAAATACACCGGGAAAAAAAATTTTAAATAAAATTTTAAAAAATAATAAGTGAGTAATCTTGTCAAGTTTTAGCAGTCCTCCCTAATATTCCCTGAATGTCATACAGTTAGTCAACAATGCCTTAATGCCACATATAAGCAGAGATTCTAACTAAATATTTTAGGAGAGCTATAAGAATTTCAAGGAACTTAAAATCTGTAAGTACAAGTTCATTCGACTCAGTTTTACTCTTTTGGAGGAAGAAAGGAACAAATAATATACAACAGATTAACTTGGACTTGGTGCACCAGTGCTTGCCATCTCTGAAGACGCAATCAGTACTTTAATTCATCCTCTTCCATATACCCTTCTCATTCAGCTTTGCTTTTGGCGTTTTAAAAAACAAGTGGCCAATAACTTGAACAAGAGGTCCTGGTTACCAATGATTCATTTGAAAATGAGATTCACCTACCCAGTAAGACAAGAAATGGGACAGTAATATCATCTATTAGAAATGATTTTTTAGATTAAAGAATTTCATTGTCATAGGGCTAAACAGACTGGTGACTGTTAACAAAGATGAAATTAAGTCTGTCTGTCTTAGAAAGATACCCATTTTCCTACTGGGAATGATTTGACGTTTTTGACTACAGGTGACATTTCTAAGTTGCCTGCCTGTGATGGCTGTTAAAAGTAGTAACGGAGCATCACTTGGCAGTCAGTTCTCATTGCCCATGTTTGAAATGCCAACGTGCATAATTGACGGGAACTGACCTTGCTGCTTTCAAGGATGTCTGTGACAATGATCCTCTTGATTTTCTTCCTCCTTTCTTTCCAGGAGGATGAAACCGACGGCTCTGAAGAGGTCAAAGAAACACGGGTAAGTGACAAACCAGTGAGGCATGTCCCTTTAGGGCTCAGCCTTGCTCTTGTGCATACAATTTTAGTAGAAGAAAGAGCAGGCTTTGTGTAGATTTGAGTTGAGAGGAAGTTTGGAAATAGACATTCCTCTGAGAGATGTGGCAATTGTTATTTGGTGGTACTATTTCCTCACGTGGTATAACAATGCCCATGCTGTTGAACCAGTTTCCAACATTTTTCTGTTCCTGCTGCCAATCTCTAACGCTGCTACAGGATCCACCTTTTTCTCTCTTGGGAGTATGTTATTGGATTGTATAAAGTACTTTGAAATACTTGGAAGAAAAGTGAAGAGTGATACCAATTCCCTTATGTATCTACACTAATAGAGAGGATCATAAATATGAGAATGTAAAACATCAGACATTCCAAAAGTCATTTATATTTGACTTTGAGATGAGATTAAACACCTGGCCTCTTATATAACTCTGACCCTGTAAGGCCTGGCATCCTGACATCCAACTCTTCTCTGTAGTAAAGGGCCTAGGCTCAGCTTTCCTGAAGATACTCTAAACTCCTATAAGCCACTCAAACACAATAGAAAGTTGATGGTTTTCTTTTCAGTACTATTTTCCAGGAAGGAAGAAATTGGTTTTGACTAAATTAATTGAAATACATGTGATTCTCTATTGAAATTATGTAAAAAGATGGCTTTTTGGTACCCTCAGTTTATTGGAAGTATGTTCTTAGAGTGTATTTGTAACCCATACTGAAAATCAACAACTAACTCATTTTTAGCAGAAGAGATATAAATAGTATTATGTATTATCTTTTATCTGCCTATATTTTAGTCAAGATCCAAAACAGTCAGTAGTCACCATCCAAAAACCAATGTCCACAATGACTAATGGTGACATAGGTGAAAATTACCTGCCCTTGGTTGGAACTGGAGCTGCTTCACAAAGATGAGCTATGTTGTGTGGAAATAGCACATAGAGGTTCCCTTGGGGCAAGAGTATGTGTATGTGTGTCTCTGTGTGTGTGCAGATAACAGCAACTCTCAGGTTCTTTAAAGGGCTTGGAAAGGCTTTTGAGGACAAGAAGAATGAATATAGGAAAGTTCCTTTGGGGAATTATAAGATGCCTAAACAGAGAATCCGAACAATAGATTACAGAGTACTGAAATGGACCATAATCTCTAGAGGGTTATACAGGCCATTTAAATCCAGGGAATTAGAATAAGAAGGTTTTCTTGTCATTGAATGTCTCTTGTCGATGAAATACTTTGTCTCTACTTTTTTGACCTTGTTGGCACCAGCAAATCCTAATCTGGGGCACCAAATGAGGAAAATTAAGATGATCTTGATACAGTGCTTTCTGGAGAATTTCATTTTAGGACCATTGACTTAAAATTATGGGGAAAAGCAGAGAGTGTTGAGGTTCAGCATGAAAGTCATTTGTCAGACTGAAAAATATTTCACTCATCCAGTTGCTTATTTACCATGTGTCAAGCAAACTCCAGTGTGAATCTAAGAGGAAAGTAAACAGCCTCTTATCTTTAGACTGGTAACTTCGAATGTATACAGGTGAGCCAGGGTTGGTATAAGCATATTCCATGTGCCAATCTCCAGCCCCTCCAACAGTGCAAAAGGGAAGGCTGATGATGAGTCAGCATAGGATGAGGCATCATTTTTATAGAAGTCTTATGTTTGCTTGCTTCAGTTTATTTCAGTAAACCTCTTATCTGTTTTCACCCCTGAGCACACTCTTCTAATGCTAGCAGGCCTGATGCCATTATCCATATGGGCCCGTAGAGCAACATACCTGGTCATAGCTGAGTGTAAATTGCTGGAATTCCACTTCAACAATCAGTAGTATCTTATGACCACTCTCTCCCCACTATTTCCATGTCCATCCATCAGACAGTACTGTTCACTCAGCTCTGCAGCAACAAATGAGCCAGTCAGAGGAGGGGCATTCTGTTGAGATGACACTGTTCGCTACTCAGCACAGGTACTGCTGAGAAGCCAGGACATTTTTTTCTTATCTCGGTTTTTAGTTCAGTAAAACTATATCTGCTAATGAGGTCATGCAAACTCCCTTCTCTTCCCTAGCTCACTCCTTAAGAGTGGTGGTATCTATTGTTTTTAAAGGTAACTTTTCCCAAGACTCTGACGTCTATTTTTTTTTAACTGAGATATATTTTACAATTAATAAAATGCACAGATTTTAAATGTACTATTTGGTGAGTTTTGACACTTGTATATACCAGTATAACTACTACCCAAATCAAGATACAGAACTTTAGCGTCACCTTAATGAGTTCCCTCATGCGTCCTTTCTCTTCAGTTTCCTGTCCTGAGAGGCAGCCACTCTTCTGATTTCTATCACCATAGATTAGTATTGCTTGTTCTTGAATTTCATATATACGTAGAATCATCTAATAATAACATTTACTTTTAAGAGTAGGAAGGAAACTTCATTGGTTTCCTCTACCTTATGCCTCCAAAATCAGAGTTAGGGATAAATTAATTATTCTAAATATATATGGATTTTGTTTCCATCTTCTTAAACATTTTGAAGAAGATTCTTTGATCGCTCACTTGTATATCAGTAACAAACACAAGGTTTGGAAGACCTTTGTACTGTTTAACCTAAATCTCTGTTGAGGTCCTTGAAATCCATTGACATTCATTTCTTCTTTTATATACCTAGAAAACTGTAACCAACATTTACATACAGATGAAATGTATGGCCAGGAATGGCCCTGGTGTTTGCTCTCAGTAGAGTATTTGGTCAGGGAAATGCAAATCAAAACCACAGTGAGATGCTATCTCACCCCATTTAGAATAGCTGTTATCAAAAAGACAAAAAATTAACAAATGCTGGTGAAGATGTGGAGAAAAGGCAACTCTCATACATTATTTGTGGGAATGTAAATTAGTATAGCCATTATGAAAATAGTGTGGAGATTCCTCAAAAAACTAAAAGTAGAACTGACATATGATTCAGCAATTCCACCACTGGGTATCAATCCAAAGGAAAGGAAATCAGTATATATTCTAGAAGAGATATCTGCACTCCCTTGTTTATTGCAGCACTGTTCACAATAGCCAAGATATGGAATCAACCTAAGGGTCCATCAACAGATGAATGAATAAAGAAAATGTGGCCTGTATACACAATAGAATACTATACAACCACAAAAAAGAATGAAATCCTGTCATTTGGACCAACATAAATGAGCCTGGAGGACATTATGTTAAGCGAAATAAGTCATGAACAAAGAGATGAATATTGCATGTTCTCACTCACATGTGGGTGCTAAAAAAGTTGAGCTCATAGAAGTAGAGAGTAGAACTGTGGTTATTAGAGTCTGGGAGGGGGAGGGGAATATAGAGAGGTTGATCAACAGCTACAAAATTATAGCTCCATAGCAGGAATAAATTCTAGTGTTCTGTAGCACTGAAAGGTGAATATAGTTAATGATAATGTGCATATTTTCAAATAGCTAGAAGGGAGGATTTTGAATGTTCCCAACACAAAGAACTAATGAATGTTTGAGGTGATAGGTATGCTAATTACCCTGATTTGATCATTATACATTGTATACACATATTTAAATATCACTCTGTACCCCATAAATATGTACAGTTACTATGTGTCAATTAAAAATAAGATTTAAAAAAGAGTATGTGATAGACCAGTCATGCATTGCTGTGCTGGTGACACCAAGGAACAACCAACATGCTTATTAAGCTCAACACAGTGCTGGGTTTACTCCAAACCCATCCGCATTGGTATATCCGTGAACCAGTGAGACTGACAGTGAATGTACGAGTTGACATCTTAGCACCTCCTGGATAGATGTGTTTTTAAAAATTCTGTTTTGTTATCTGCATTATATATATGACAGATAGTCTCTGGAAATCTTAATATATCCTTTGTCTTGCTAAGTGAAAAGAAACTTTATCTGAATCCTAATCTGAGGAATAGGGTTATTCTAACCATACCTGAAAATGATGTTATATTCAGGAGTGTGTTTGCTGTTTTTTTGTTTTTTTTTTTACTACAGTAGTAATTGCGTAGTATATTTGCCCTGGAAGGAACAATCACAGGCTCACCACAGAAGGCGAGGGCCATTTGGGTTCTTTCCATC